TAGTGTTATGACGGAGTCCAGTACCAGGTGACTTGGTCACATGCCTCTGTAGGGCCATAGCAGCCATGAGACAGAGGCTGTTTGTAAGGTCCTGAGGAAAGCTTCCCAGAAAGGCTTCCCAGTGGGAGATTAGCATCTTCAAAGTCCTATTGTTTTCCCTAATGGCCCTTCCCAGCCAGCCATATAGACTGATTGCATTCTGTCTAGTGGGTGTTCCTCAGGTGTAAACACATTTGTAATAGGAGCATAGATGATATTCCTAACTTCAGATACAAAAATGATACAGGCATACAAATAGGATAATCATATTCAGTAAATCATAATCTTTTCAATGATATGTCACGTGAGCTATCGTGTGTAAAATACATCCTAGTTATGCCACAATCATATCATATATCATATAATATCTCTATGAAGAATATGGGAGCATAGTGTCACACTGGGTTTGAATGCTTCTGAGCTAACTTGTAGTCTTTGAAATTGTATATATGGTAGGTTAGAATAGTCGAGAGAATGTCAACCAATATTTGGTGTTTTTGAGAGGCAAGATGGGGAAGATTTTAAGATTATTTTTTTCCTGACAGTTCACTACTACTTCGAGTGCTTGCACGTGTCCATTGCATGCTAGATGTGTGCGTGCAGGGTAGCTAGAGATTTTTCCCTCAGTGGTATCCGATGGGCCGGTTCTAGTGCCCTCTCGAGTTGCGCACACTAGCGCCAGTATAAGGGGCACCACTGGCCTTGCACCCTCTCAGTTCCTTCATACCACTTATGATGGTTGCTGGACAATCCTTTTTGCAGCAAGGCTTCTTTCCCAGTGGTTTGGACAATTTGTGCATGGTTTGTGTAGTTATTGTAGTTAGTGTATATACTTCTTAGTTAGTGTTAATGTATATAGTAATGGGAATAGTTGGTCCATGTCATCAAGGGACTCTTTGCCCCAGGGACTGGGCATGCCCCCGGTCCCCGGGGCTTCAAGCCATGTGCCTCTTGCGGCAAGCCTATGCCAATGAGTGACCTGCACTCTAGCTGTTTAAAGTATCTGGGGGAAACTCACGTAAAATAAGTGCCAGATCGGCAGGGACTTCAGACTTCACACTAAAAAGGACAGGGACCTTTGGCTGACCAGTCTTGGAGCCGAGCCCCTCTGAATCGGTGCCAAGCACTTCAACATCTGTGTGGAGCACCCCTCTCGTACCGTTTACCATTTCCGGTGTGGTGGAAGAAACATAAACAGCGCACCCGGAGAGGATGCTCTCTGGAGCAGAATAGAGACAAGCGGGGAGAGATTAATACAGTGAGACCCATGCCGGGCCACTCTTCCTCCCCCGAGCCAGCAATGGCACCGTCGACTCCGCCTGTTGTTCTTTGAGACGTGTTGCTTAGTCCATTCCATGACCACCCTCCTTATCCCTCTGTCAGAGTTACTGGCAAGAAGTAACTGAGAGATTGCAGGGCGTTTATAATGCACCCTTTAGACTGGTACATATCTGTGCCACTCCAGAAGGCAGAAGAGCCATCTCAACAGATACCCTTAGGGAAAACCGTGCACGCGGTGCGCACACATTTAGCATGGAATGGACATGAGCAATACATCTTGAAGAAGAACAGTTACGAAAGGTTAGTAACCATTTTTGTTTTGCATCTTCATACATTCACTTACTGTAACTCAAACATTTTTCATATTGGGGACCATCAAGGTTAATGGCAGGCTTGAGGATTTCTGGTGTCCACCAAAATTATAAATCTGTTTTGGAAGGGAGAATTACTCTCTTGCTTGTCCCCTCACCCTCTAAATTCCTTTCCTCTTTTTCTGCTTCCACATGGTCAGTTGGGCAAGGAACTGTGGATCTTTATGTCTTGAACTAGGCCAGGGGTCAGCTACCTTTCAGAAGTGATGTGCCAAGTCTTCATTTATTCACTGTAATTTAAGGTTTCGCGTGCCAGTAATACATTTTAACGTTTTTAGGTCTCTCTATAAGTCTATATTAATTCATTTAAAATTAAATTAAAATGCAGATCATATCAGTTTAGTGTGATTCTTGCCCTTGCTTTTCCTTGCTGAGATTTCCAATGTCTGGCACGTATTTAGATACTTTAAGCTGCACACAGGCTTCTGAGTGATCAGTTGTTAACCGGCTGCGAGAGGGACAGAGGACAGATTTCATGTGTGAAAATACCTGCTCACACAGGTATGTGGCTCCAAATGCTAAAAGCATTGCAAATGCAATTTTCTTCAAACAGTAAAATTTCACTGGCAGGGACATCCAGCAAGTCAGAATAGAGGCCCCATGATCTCTCTCGGTAACTTCAAGTGCACTCTGCAGATCTCCAAACTTTGATACCCACAATTCTGAGCTTTTTAACTGAATGAGCTGCATTTTGAAATCTTCAACACCCATCCACTGAAATGCAGACAAATCCAAGTCGCTTTCGTTGAACTTTTCAGGTTTAATTAGAAAAGAAAGCATTAAGCCAAATCGCTGGAAATCTTGAAATCTGTCAGAAAATTCTGATTCCAGTTCTTGCATGTACATTCCAATCTCATCAACACTGACAGTGCAACATGTCAATAGCTCTTTTATGTGTTGGAAGTAGCGGAAAGTCGAAGTTCGAATATTCTGAGAAAAAATTGCTAGTTTTACAACAAATGTCTTCCAGGCTTCATAAAGTTCCAGAACTGTTTTCCCTGCACGTTGGAGACAGAGATTGAGTTTGTTTAGGTGAGCGGTGATGTCAGTTAGAAACATGAGCTTACACAGCCATTTGTCATTATCCAGTTCAGGGTAGTTTTGTGCTTTTTCCAACAAAAAGGCCACCAAATGTTGCTGTGAAGTGGAATTTCGTTATAAGCACTGTCCATCTCTTCTAGCAGTGCTTGAAACTGTCTGTGAGTCAAAGCAGATCGAGCAACAAGGAAATTCACAATTCGCACCACTGTATTCATCACATTATTAAGCTCTGAATTAGAAATTTTAGCACACAGGTTTTCTTGATGGATGATGCAGTGAAATTTGGCTGTTGGGTGGCCAATTTGACTTCAAGTAACTTTACAAATCCTTTCTGTTTTCCAACCATGGCAGGAGCACCATCTGTTGTCGCACAAAATATTTTTCTGATTTCAACTCCTTGTTCAAAATGGTTTACAAAACTTTCCACTATATCTTCCCCCTTTGTTGTGCCATGCAGGGGTTTTAGGCAACAAAGTTCCTCTTGGATTTCATCGGAAGCACAATATCTTGCAACAACTGCCAAACGTGGAATGTTGTTTATATCCACACTCTCATCAACTGCAACACTGAACACTGCTTAGTCTTTTAATGCAGTCGTCTGCTTTTCGTTAATGTTTTCTGCCATTTCGCTTATGCGTGTCTCAACTGTTCTGGCAGAGACAGGCAGTTCTTTTATTCTAGATACGATCCTATCTTTATTTTGCAAATCATTGAACAAAACCTCTGAACTGCTGAGAAAAACTTCTTTTTTATATTCCCCATCTGTAAACGGCTTTCCGTTTTTTGCAGTGCACTGTGCAATCTTGTAACTTCCTTCTGTAGTTTGATTTTTACTTACACTTAAGCATTTAAAGCACTGCTTTGCTTCTCATATCCTGCTACTGCCTTTTTGATCGATTCAGGCTTGTCTGCTTCATCAAGAAAGGTTTTCTCGTGCTTCGTTTCAACATGTCGTCGAACACTTGATGTGCGACAAACAACACTTTCACAACAGAAAGCACAAACAGCACGGTCCTTCTTTTGAATAAATCCAAATGTGCCTGTCCAAGAAAGCTGAAATGAACGGACATCTAACTTTGCTTTCTTAGGAGCTGACATTTTGTCAAATGTACCCCTCAACTCACAGTGGGGGGGGGGAAATCGCGACAGACGGCACGCACAATGTCAAACGCAGTGTGCTGTTCCACATGGCATGGTATAAGCAGCAAATCAGGACTTAAAAATATCCCAGTGGTGCTGGAACAATTTTTAAGGTGGGGGTGCTGAGCTGCGCCCTCTCTTGCCCCTGTCTGAACCCCTCACTGCCCCAGGCTGGGGCCAGTGGGCCACAGCTGCGGGTGGCTGCAGAGCGCCAGGCCGAGGCCAGGAGCAGAGCCCTGGGCCAGCGGCCGGGACCCTAGGCCAGCAGTGGGCTAAGCGGGGCCAGTGGACGGAACCCCAGCTGGCAGGGGGCTGGTGGACAGAACCCCAAGCTGGCAGCAGAGTGCCACTGAAAATCAGCTCGCGTACTGCCTTTGGCAGGCATGCTATAGGTTGCTGACCCCTGAACTAGGCTCTGAGTACTCAAGTGAGGATTGGTTGTTGATGGTAATAACAGACCACAAGTGGTGGCTGGGATGTTAAAGAAGATCTAACAGTGTGGGGGGGTTCCTGGATCTGGCTGTGAGTATCATGCTAATTTTCACTCATACTCTGTACAAGTAGCACAGTGCTATCAGTAGGCTTGTACAGCAGCAGTTAGATATTAAATT